GGTGAAGGGACTTGAGCACAAGTCCTATGAGGAGAGGCTGAGGGAGCTGGGGTTGTTTAGTCTGGAGAAGAGAAGGCTTAGAGGCGACCTCATCACTCTCTTCAACTACCTGAAGGGAGGTTATAGCCAGGCGGGGGTTGGTCTCTTCTCCCGGGCAACCAACAATAGGACAAGGGGACATGGGCTCAAGCTCTGCCAGGGGAGGTTTAGGTTAGATGTTAGGAAAAAATTCTTTACAGAGAGGGTTATCAGACATTGGAACGGCCTACCCAGAGAGGTGGTGGATTCACCATCCCTGGAGGTTTTTAAAAAGAGATTGGACATGGCCCTTAGTGCCATGATATAGTAATTGGAGTTGGATCAGGGGTTGGACTTGATGATCTTGGAGGTCTCTTCCAACCCTACCTATTCTATGATTCTATGATTCTATAAAACATACCATGTAATTAAAATGCATTCTAGATGTTGTCTTGTAAAGAATAACAGTTCAGAAAGAGAGGCAATAAGTTTTTCATCCTAAAATGTACATATATCTTGTATGAACAAAGCAATGAAGGTATCAAAATACATGCTAATATGTCAAATGTCTGCAGTAATTTAATGGCATGGGCTTCTGATGAATTTCTGTGACATTGCTACTAATTTTTCTTAATAAGAAAAATTAGTTCTACATTCCATCATACCACTTTCTGGAGGTATGCACTGAGGAACTAGTGTACAGTAACTCAAATTAGATACAACATGTCTGCATAATTTACTTCATGCTGTTAATTACCCCTCCAGAGAGATTTTAATGATGTCATATTTAGTAATACAGATTTGTCTATGTATAAGCACATGTTTAAACTGAGTGGAATGTATTTTGTTTTGGTACATGGCTGGCAACCTAGCAATATCGTATAAGAGGATGTTGAATAAGCTGATTTTTACTGGTCCTCCTGCCAATAAGAGATTGATAGTGTAGAAGGCTTCTCTGGGAGGCATTTTTTTCCTGACCAGATTGTTCTGTGGAGAGCAAAGTGACTTAATCCCTAGGTCCTTTTCCTTTTGCAGTTCAGAACAAAGGATCCAGCCACATATAGTCACAGACTTAATATGTACTCTGCAGGGAGTTGTGCTGAGGAGGTAAATCCTACACTTTTCTTACAGCTCAGCCTTGACTGTATTTCATTGTCCTTTCCTGGAAAATAACATTGATTGATCAGAATAAAAAGCACCTCCTGGCAAAGGAGTACTGGCAAGTTACAAGGGGTTTGGCTGGGGAGAGAATCTCCTCTCTAAACACCAGAGATGAAACAGGATAGAAACTTTTTTCAATAGGATGCCGTAGTTCAAAGTACACTGTTCCCATGAATGAAGGTAAATACATATTATAGTACTTGTTGAATTTGAGATAAGAACCTTGCCTCTCTAGAAGCTATTTCGCAATTTTGAAATTCCACACATTTTTCAGAAAATTTACTTACACCTGGTGATCTACTGCCGGTACTGTGGGTGCAACAAGGATTCCTGCTTCAGCCTATGCTCTCTATGCCAAAGTACTGCAATCTATGGTCTGTGGCCCTCCATATGTCCTGTATACCAGGGACATTTGGTTAAGCAGTAATTCAAGATGCTTGCTTCACATTGTAAGATTTCAACCTATATGGTTATTTTTGAAAAATAAAATATTGCATTTATAAACTGTACTTAAATGAAGAAGATATGTAGCAGTGTTTTTAGGCCCTGTGACCAGGGCAGAAAACTTGTTGACTTCCTTTATAGCTTGTTTCATCAGTCATGAAGATGAAAGTGAAAACTATGCTGAGAGCAGTATTTTAACTATAGCATGAGGAAATGTGCTTAACTTCTTAATTAAATGCTAGTAAGCAAGCAGTAAAAAAACTTGCAAATATTATTACAAATTTCAAAAATAATTAATTGTGTTAATCTATCCCATTTCCCTCTCATCATACCCTTTACTTTACTTCTATTGAATGTTCTGAAATCCACAGGATTAGCAAAGTGTTTAAGAAGGGAAAAAGGATAAAAAAAAAGTTTAGGAGTTTAAACGGAAATTATACCAATATACAAAACAGTTATGCAAAATACCAAGAAATCATTGTCCTTTCTTTATCCAGATTATTGACATTGCAAACATCCTTCAGTACAGAATGTACATTTTTTGAAAGCAATGAGAATCATTTATTGGAACTAACTTTCAAGATCTTATTCATCTTAATAAACTGACCACAGAAACTGCATGTCTAAAAGGATACAACTTTTTACATGACAATCTCTCACAATACTTGAAAAATAAGACCACAGTCTTACAATCAGTTTTCTCAGTTCCTTTACCTGTGTGTTAGGGAAAATTTTCTTCTCCTTCTTTGTTAAGTAATATTCAACAACTTTGATTTTTTATTTTTAAGGTAACAATTTGTCTTGCATCAGTTTGAAGGCATTTAATTTTTCATTTTACATGACTTGGAATATCTCCCTTTTCGCTATTCTAACTTTTTGTCGTCTGAGGACATTAAATATGTATTTTTCTTCATATGCTTCCTGTTTGGAAAGAATGTGTCTGTCTTCATGTTTCTTACATATGAACAATCTGTAACCTGTTTTTAATAAACTGAACTCAATTTCACATGTACCAATAGTCTATTGGATCTTGCCTACAGGAATGTTCCTTAAAGGTGCAAATGAAATTTAACTAGACAAAGAATAAGGTGTTGTTCTATCCTCCGTAGTATTTTTAACTCAGCATTTATTCCAGAACCCCTTTAGGGTTTCAGCTTGTTTAGTTGTCTACTTGCGTTAGGCCAAGTTCTCTTATGAATTGTACTACTCATAGTCAAGTGGTCCTCTAACTCTCTGGAGGTTAATAGAAGTCCACTGTCTCTTACCAGTGTTTAGATGATCTTTCTTTTTTTTGAGAGCCAAACCCAGACAAAAAACCCAAGCCACTATTTAGGAAATTATGTGATAATTTCCAGACTAGGAAAAGATTAAACTAACGGTCTTGATATTTTATAATTAGGCTCCTCTGGGGTAATGATACAAAGTTCTTAAAAAGACTGAAATATATCCAAACATTTCCAAAGTGTTTTAAAGTACCGTAAGTGGTGCAATTTTCTGTTTTATCATCTATTTAATTTAACAAACAAAAAGCGTCAAATGGTGTTCTCCCAGTAGCTTGGTGTTATGATTTCTTCGTACATACAAAGATGAGACTCAGGGATATTACAGAATTGTAAAGATAGGGAAAAGATCCATGGTTTATTGGCAAGAAATAGATGAACTTGTAATTTCACTTTTAAATTCATCACATTCCGTTAGACAGCAAAACCACTTGTGAACATTACTGCAGCTGGGAAGCCTGTTACAGGATCTCCTTTGTCTGAAAAACCACTCAAATGAAGCAACCAGGGAGGAATCTTTTTGGTTGATATACTTCCTTTGCAGTAACTCAGACACTAAAGACAATATTTTTAAGCACAACTTAGTCAATAGTGCCTTCAAATTTAATTTGGGCACATTTTCACATAAAAGGATCACCTAACAAAACTCCTAATTCTTTTGATTCTTTGTTTTACACTCAGACTCCACTCAACTAATGGGAGTGGGCTTTCACCATGTTTCTGAAACTGTCACATTTTTAGTCATTTATACTTCACCATCCAAAGGACTTGATTTGACTGACATAAATGTCCTGCACATTATTCAAAAATATATTAAATGAGATTCCCCTATTCATCATAGTTATAAAAGAGCCTGCAACTTTGTATATTCTGAGATTTGTACAACTGTCAGCTAAAAACCTCTGATTCTGTGTGGACTATAGACCTAAGTGATTGAGGATGTCTCTCTCTGTCGAGTTGTCAGGAAATAATTTATTCTGATAAATGCAAAAACTTTAGCTTTGTAAGTCTTCAAGGCTATACCACTATCCGGACATTTGCCTTTGATCCAATATAAACGAAGATACCTGTTCTGATGAATGGCATAATTTAATTATTTAATTTTTTTCCTCTTTTCCACTAAGGGGCTGTTAATAAAATATGGGATTAAAAACAAAACCAAAAAAATAATGTAATGAATCTTTTTGAAGAAGGACTTGTTTACTTTGAATATGGTGAAATATCATTCATGGTTCTTCTAGAAGCATTCAGCCTATGAGAGGCTGTTGCAATGAGAAACTACACCAATAAAAATTGATAGACTACTCTGAGTGACAGGAGATGCTTGATACACGGTCATTTCAGAACATATGAGAAACACTTCAAAAAAGGTGCCTAATGCCAAGGCCTAACTAAGTTGTCTGTCATGGTTATCACAGCAGGAGGTAAAGAAGGTGGACCAGTTCCAGTCTCATATTCCTTGTGAATATGAGAAAGAACTCATTTCCACTTTTCTGTCCCTCCTTTCACATTCTGATCAGCTGACAGACCTTATCTAATTAGGAATAAAGACCTTCATATTTTCTAAACCATGAGTGCTTAAGAGTGAAGTTTTGTCCTTCCTCATGCAATACTTGCTATTGCACAAATGAAGGTCAGAATCCAAGCCCAAGAGTCATCAAATAAAAATTTAATCAAATAAAAACTTGATTATGCACAAATTTCTCTTCTAGGCACTTGTAGCCTAGTTATTACCTCTTTCTGCCAAACTGATGAAATATTATGATCTGCTGGGCTATTTAATCCTTATGAAACAAAAAAGCTCACACAAAGGTGCATTATCAGAAGAGGAAAGACTTGTATTGGCTTTTTTTACCATACCAGGGTGGGAGGGGTTAAGCATAAAGAACAGTACAAAAAAAAGTCTTAAAGGTAATAACAAACTGCCTCACAGCATACAGAACAAACATTAAAATTATTGGGTTTACAGTTCATTGCAAGCATCCCAGATGTTTCATACAAAAGAGCAGCTAAGCTGACCTATGATTTCATTCTGACATCATAGAAATATAAGTTTGCCATGAATGAGAGAGCAGTAAAAATGCAGCACTGGCAGATCTGACATTCAACACTGAAGAAATCAAAGACAATGTTTGCACCAGTTTTTGGGTCATGGAGACTTCTGACATGTGCAGTCTGAATCAAAGTCCATTAGTGCTTTCATGTCAGCCCCAGTTATGGTTTTGATTCACCACTGCTGTCACAGAGAATATGTCATTCACACATCTTTCCTTTTCAGTCAGCTATTTGGAATAGCATGTAAAATGGGTTTTGAAAATTGGTGTTATCTCTCAGTTCTAGCAGTACTCCCAGGCCAGGTCACTTATTTTAACAAAATAAGTAAACGAAACCCCCACCAACCTTGTGGTGGTAGATTTGGGAAAGGACATCTCCAGTAGATAAAGTAAATCAGACTGAATGGTATTGGGGAATACAAAGAAGGTTGCTTTCCTTCCTGCCTACCGGTTCACTGGCCCCATGAAGCTCAGTCTCTCTCATTCGACAACCCTGGTGATCCTACCACAAAATTCCTGGGTAGAAATTTGCCTGCAGTGGCATGAATTTTAGCTAGTGGTCCAGATGGACCTGAAAGATAAGAGTACCTCTCTGGCACCATAGTTTTGCAACCATAATCTCTTCTCTCACTCCACTGCTTATTTGTTCCCTGACAGACATTGCCTTGCTCTGTATGTGAGCTGCCTGTGGCATAGCAACTTTGCTGGGTTTGTCCCAGAAGTGGTACAGGTGAAGTAAGTTTTAAATATAGGAACCAGGGCTGATACACATCCATCAGCATATCTCAGCTTTTTCTATTCATGCAACTTACAGTCACCCAACTATCCTATGGGCTACACAAGAAACAGGAGACAGGTCAGCTTCTCACTCATGCTTGGTGAAGACAAAAAGGGTCTTTTCATTATTAAGAAAACTCAGCATCTAAGCCAAGCTAAAATAGGTCACAAAAGCTATGTAAGCAGTAACTTCAGCAAGCTAGACACAAAAGTTCTGCTCATGGTGAGACAATAAATTAAAATAAATTAATAAAGTAAATGCAATGGTGAATGTGCTTTACACTGATTAATTGTGTTATTGTTTTGCTGCCTACATAGAAATAGATTTTTAGCCCTGATTGTTTTGCTCATGTGTTTGACTGTCCAGAGAGTGTAGAACCACAATCTACTCTGAAGGTCAGTGAAGTGTTTAATTTGCCTTATTTTCAGGGGCACATATGTCAACATATTGCAACCACATTTTCAAACTTGGTTTGAATCTTCAGTGTTAGAGTTCTTACATCACTTGCTCCATTGGATGATTTTCTCATTTAGATGTTTTTACTTTTATTTTACCATTAAAACCAAAGACTCAAGGATACAAAAGATGTCTGAAATACAACTGATCAGTTGCATCTTGGACGATCCACAATAATAGAGTAATATTTTCCTAATTTGGAAAGACTGTTATAGAATCTTGCTGAAATTCTGTCACAGGTTTTTAACTCAGTTTTTGCCTGTAACGAAACAAAAATAAAAAACATAAAGTTTCAAAGCTCTCATACATAATTTTATCATTAACAATGTAAATTGTTCCTATCAGTTTGTCAGACTGATATTTTGAGCAAACTTTTAAGAGATTTTTATAAGCCTAATTGTCAGTGGGGAAATAAAGAAATATTCTTTAAAAGCAATACTCTCTTCCTTTTCTATTACAATTACTGAGGAGCATAAGTCCAGCCAGAAACTTATTTTGAGCAAAAGAGTAAACAATGGTGCAAAGAGCCTAGTGTGAACTTATGCAACAGGTTTGATGTCACCTTGACCTAAAAAATTGATAAAATTTTTAAAAGCTATTTCTCCTTTGTTGTTACAGAATCTTGAATCTTATGTTTTGGACTACAGCACTGTCATGTTTCATGCCCTACAGCACAGTCATGTTTCATGCCCTTGTGTGATTTTCAAGTTCTTGGTTTAGAGAATAAGTAATACAGTTAAGAAAAACCAAGTTTTTTCAAATCTTCCTGGAATGTTTTTTCTACAGAAGAGAAAAAATGAGTTCAGAAACTTATGGATTAAAAAAAAAAAAAAAGAGTTTTTGGTGACAATTATTATACCATTTTTGTGTAGAAGGTCAAGAATGAGTATTCTGAATTCAGTAATTAAAGTTGAATCCAAAATTTTTTGAATTCAGAAATTTTCTCTTCATTCCCCTTATTTATGGTTCTGCTAGGAATTTGAAACTGGGGTATACTGGAATGAACAAATTCGTTTGTTGTAAAAGTCGAAGCTGACCACTCCTCTCTACAAGACACCTGATGCCCTCAGTGCAGCATAAAGTCTTTTTGCTTAATTAATGGTCCTAGGCAATTCTTTATTTAATTTAAAAATATATATAGTTAAAATTTAAAAGTTGGTTAGGACAGACTTACTGTGAAATCTAGTTACAGCACAAGAACTTAAATACAATTCTCCACAGGGAGATTTTTTTTGCAAAAGAACAGAAAAAGTTATTTCCATTCAGCTGAATTAGTTAAAACATTTTGCACATTTAGCAATAACAAATCTTAACTAATGTCACTTTATAATGAAGAACTAGAAATTTAGCAAGTCATTCTTCTGAAATATAGAAATCATGACTAGATTATTTCTCTATATTTGGTCATTCTTGATGCTTAAAGGTAAGGGAAAACATTTCTATTTGTGCTAAAAATAGCAAAAAGGAATTATAAATATTGCCATACATTTCTTCTCCATAACTCTCTGCTCTGTTTTTATTTAATTTCTGAAAATTGGTATATCTTAGCTTTCATTTTGCTTTTGCATCATATTCTTACAATACTTTGTTGATATCAATCTGTAAGACTAACTTTACAAACATCTGAAACAGTTCATTTCCTGCAACTCACCTCCTACTTGTAAATTTTTAGAAAGTTCGATATTTCAATTTGTTTAAATATAAGTTGGATCCTCAATACTGTAATTTAAATGATACAATTCCATATCTCTTTCCCCAGGTACTGTACCTCATTTAGTGACTTCACTGAGGACTAAGTGTTGGTAAGATAAGTGATTTGCAATCCAATAGTTGAAGTTTGATCAGACTTTTCTTCCTCTTTTAGGAAATACTATCTGTACAGATTAATCACCAAAACAAGGTTATACACTTGTTAGTCCTTTCTTAAGTCTCTACAGTGTCAGACAGAAATGGTAGTATTCTGATACAACACTTATCACCAAATCAAAGAATTCATCAAATTAAAAAATCCATCAGATCCCATACTGTGAAGAACCTCTCCCATGATGCAGGGAACCAACACTGCTCGTTTTCTTCCAGACACTTTTTTTCAGAAAATTCAACTTCTAAGGGTGCAAAGTTATAGTGTTGCAGAATACAGAGGGAAAGATGACTGCAGTTCAAGCCAAGTCACGTTTCAGTACAAGGTCTTCCAATACGTTGTAGAAAAGCAGGAATTCCTTGTTATTAATTATAATGAACAAGGAGTTCAGTTTAGTTACACTGCACATCAGTACAGTGGGATTTTTACAGATTTTAGAGTGGGGTCTCAATTTATATCATGCAATGGTACGTATTTATCAAAGCACTGAATTTATTTGCAAGTATACAAAATTCCATATTCTAATTTTATGATGGTCTTAGACCTAAAGCATAGGTTAAGTGTTGCTCTGGATGACTCATACCTCCTATTTTTCAAGGCATTTGAAAGAAGTGATAAATAAAATGGCAAGAATGACAAACATCCTAACTACACTGCCATTAAAATGCTGTGCTGCAATACAAGTTTAACAACCTGTGCTCTAGAAAGAAATTGACAACAGGGGATTTTGCCAATGTATATTGGATGTAACTGGACATTAATGGAGCTCTGAACAACGTGGTTTGGTGGAAAGTGTCCCTGCCCGTAGAAGGGTGCTTAGAACTAGATGATCTTTAAGGTTCCTGCCAATCCAAACCGTTCTACAATTCTATGATTCTAACATATTCTAATGAAACATCTGATAATGTATAATTTTTAGTATTGTTAATGTTTTCCTCTATTTTATGGAAGCATGCAATATAAAAATAATTTTTATATGTAGACATACTTCACTTGATGTTTCAAGATTGCTTTTACACTTTCTATTATTGATTATTTATCTTCTAAAAAGAAACATAACTTTTTGCAATGTCAATTAATAAGAAGGAAAATATTTTTGTAGTATTTCAATCAGGAAAGCTGGACTCTATTTTCATTTTTCTGGAAATACAGCTTTTATTTTATTTTGTGAGAAGGAGTTATACCTCTGTATATTTAAAAAAATAGATGAATACAATGTTTTCCCTGTGCAGTACTAGCATTTGCAACAGAATTACACAACCCAATATTTTTCTTGATTTTTGCATCTTCTTACAGCTTGGCAGAGATTATCTGAAAGCTTACAAGTAAAATAACTTCCTCAAAAACATATAGGAATGTTAATGGAAGGCTAGGGGGTATATAAAAGTAGTTTATTCAAAGCTGGATTGGAACCAAGATTAATATTTAGATCTGGTATATAGTAATAACCCAGTTTACTAAAAAAAAACCCAAGGTTTTTGCACCCCAAGGTTTTTGGTAGAGAAAGAGGAAATAAAACCTTTTGAAGTCATATGGGAAATGGGCAATGTTCTATCTGTTTGAGAGCCTTTGGGCCGATATGAACAGCAGTGGGATAAGCAGCCAAAAGAGAACTGCAGAGTGAACAGCTTCAGCCACACAGTTGTGTCCTCAACTGGCTGCGTTAGCTGTGTCATTGACGATGTATCTCTGAGGCCAGCTTCCATGGAGCCAATCAGCCTCTCTCTTGCCCACTTCCCTGCAGCCCTAATGGAGACTAGTGCCTTTATGCAACGATGTCATGACTGCCCTCTCTCCCCCTCCACAGCTGGACACCCCGGTTGGATAGACCTGGAGAGACCACAGTGAGCACCAGGGAACATACGTCTCATTCTATTTACAGTCATATACTACAAGTCTGTCCTGAGTCTACTACCCATATAGCAGTGGTGCCCCCAGCCTCACCACTTACCCACCCTCGGTGCGAAAGACTAGAAAGGGCACTTGGGTCATATAACCCTATGCAGTCTGTTGACCACCACTTTGAGGACAGCTCTAAGGATTTGACTGTAATGAGAATTTCTGTGCAAATAATATCATATTAATGAAATATATATTCCCATGGCTGATAGAGTGTTGACAGCCTGATATAAAAGGGTATACACGGGTGTAATTTATTCCTGCTAAAAATTAGGATTATTTTTTATGAAACAAATTACTCTTTACCTTGCAGCAGATTACCTACTGTGTACAAAGTAGTGCAAGCAGTTATGATGTTTATAATTACAATTTATCTTTTGTTTCAGGATCATCTTTACTCTATACTTTATATTTACTCATAAAGTCAGCTTTTACTGGATATAAGTTAAAATGAAAAGATTAAAAATATGGCAGCTAACATTGCAAATTCTCAAAAAATCTACTGAGACAGAAAAATTTTTTGCAATTGAAAAGTCAAGCTATGGGAAAAGGCTTTGACCTTCCTGAAACAGAGTACTTGGGGAAAGGACAAATGTAATGGACAGAACCAAAATTAAGGATGTTTAGTGAGCTACAGAAATGGAAAACATGCATTAAAAAATATTATTCACTAAATAAACATACTCATGGGTGTGTATGATGAACTAGATTCTATGAACACTAAGGTACATGTTTAAATTTAAGTACTGACTGCAAAATGTTTTAGGTGGATGCTAAGGTGTATGCCGAACAGAGATTTTTTGCAAGTGAAGTTATGTTTTTCTGCTTCACTGACACACAACCTGCTATATTTTCTGCAAAGAACAAGAATATCTTACTAGTGTTTTACGCTGAGATACTTTTCTCATTGCAGTCATTCCTTTTTAACAGTGGAAATGAATGAAAAAAATCCCTGACATAGATAGATTATTGGGCCCACGCATCCTTTAAAGCATTCTGTCATGCTGTTTGAAAAAAAAAATAAATGAGGATAGTAGCAGTAGCACTATACATCTCTTCAATGATTAACAAAGCTAAAAGGATTAATATCTAGTGTTTATTTTAAGAGGGACACAATAGTATTCTGGAAGATCATATGGAGAAATCAATTGCAAAAAAAATCTGGATTTTTTACAAATTAAGGTTTCTGCTAGTACTATTCATAATTGCAGAGCACGTGGCTGCTGGGAACCATTGAAAAATGACATCATCCTTGACCACAGAAATAAAAGTGATAGATATAAGAGGATTATAAACCGTTTTCCATAACGCTTTAATGCTGCTTCCTAGCTTGTCAGAAATTATTGCTTTAGAAGTAAAGTAGTAAATATTTAAAAGTCTTCGTTGTTGGCAGATTTAGCTTGTTAACTGTGAAGGCAACATTAGCATAAATATCTTTTTAGATTATCACTCTCTGGCTGTTCATCTGACCAGGCTAGAGCTGAGCTGAGCTCATCATCACCCACTGCTGGGGAAGGGCTTACTGTACCTCTTGGAAACCACTTCTTTTCCCTGGCCATGGCTTACCCTTGCAGCTCCTTTCTTCTCCAGGCTACCATTCCTACCCCTGTGTGTGCAAGTTCCACAGCTATGATGCAGTTTGCACAGCATGTTAACCAGGCACAGGCCCCTGTTGGAAGTACCTATGATGAAGAAGAGAAGTTCAGATTGTGGAAATAGAAGACGCAGGACACCTTAGCAGAGAACTATAAGAAAGAAAGTGTGGTGTGACTGGACTGCATACACATCTGTAGAAACAGAGACTGCTGTTGTTAAAGAGTTTTTAATCTACTGTTAATTCATGTTCAATTATATTTCACCCCCAAGTTTTTAATCAGTTTTTGCAGGTTTTTTCTCCCTCATGTTTTATTTCTTTTATCCTATTGGCT